GGGGGGCAGGAGGACTGTAGACCCCTGAATGTCTTGAAAGGCTTGCCATATCTTGGAAAATGGGGGCCCAGAAATGTAGTGTGCCTCCCCCCTTGTTCTCGGCTGTGCCTATGACTTCAGATCAATGTCAGAGCAACTCCCTTATCAATAGTCAGTGCACTGTCTTCCCTTCCTTTTCCTTCTCTTGCAATAAAAATAAATCTGTACCATCTTGATTAATCTCTATCAATGAGTTCTTGCAAGATTGAAACATAAAACAAAAGTATAATAAGAATACTCTTCTCAATGCTTTATAATCTATTTTGTCCCATAAAAATTAGTACGAGATTGATATATGTCTGAAACCACTCATTGCAGTACTCAAATAATTTACATCATAGTTGTAGAGGCTCTATATTAGGAAGTTTACATAAAATTATTTGAATATCACAAACATTAATAACATATTATATTAAGCTGAGTCACAGTAAATGTTTGAGATGTTCGAGGGAAAATGTTTTATCTCGAAAAGGTTGATTGACAAAATTGTTGCAATGTACTGAATATAATTGTTTATGTAATAAATAAATATTAGACTTGTATAATTCTTGAGATGAAGCTTGTCACAATGTTTGCTCTGTAACATATTTAAATTCTCTTGCAAATGATTTAGACAATACTTTTCAATTCTGCAATTAAAAAATATCTCTTACAGCAGGTGATGGTCGTGGAAGAGTACTGCTGCTCCCATTCCTCACTAGAGGCCTTTGAATAGAATCCATTCTCTCAGGAAGAGCTGGACTTGGCTCCTTTTTGCCTCGTTCAACACTGTAAGGAAAGCAAAAGAAATTGCATCAGAATTTTCACATGTATAAGAATTATAATTTATTCATACATTTGTCCATTATTATTATTATAAACGGATTTTCAAAAAATGTGTCTTACAAAATGTGCTTATTACATTGACAAATATATCCAATTCTTATCAGCAATTATTTTCACACACAAGTATACACAGATGCACTTGGATGCACATACACACACACCCATGTGCATACACATGTACACACATGCCACAAATGCATATACCCACATACACAGATATACCTCTAAATAATTAGTAATATATTATCTCTTTCTGTGTATAAGCCTAATGTATATCATTTTTTTCAAAATTTTATATTTCTGAGCATGTATTTTAAGAGTATATCTCGTACCTATTAGCCCTAGAACTTGGTTTCTTGAACATTCCAGTAAGTCTATCCCTGAGATCCTTTTTGCTGCCTTTTTCATCACCTCCCATGCTTATATCTGAGCCACTTCCTCCAAGTGATCCCTGATGGAAAACAAAAATTGTAGGTAAAAATAATTATTATTAACTTAAGTACTAAAATTGTTGATATGTGTTGTGAAACATAAATGAGCACTTGGCATGTTGTATTTATAAAATAAATATTTCTGTGTGCATATTTTATTCTTCGCAGCTAATCGTTATTGTCAACATTTTATAGATGCCTATGTTGTGAGTGTATAAATTTGTAATTTGGGATTTATTTATAATTCACAATGTTCAGAACAATAATAAACATAGTTATTATGTTTTATGATATTCCTTAAATAACGTTATATTTTATATTTAAAAAGGGAAATAATATTTATTATTTTAATTTTTTCCTTATTTAATTCTTCATTTGATTTTATTTAATTTTTAAAATAGCTTTAACAAAAAATTAATAACAAGAAATTGTTCTAGCTGTTTGATATTATCTCTCTAATTTAAGAGAAAAATGTGAGAATTGTATACTATAATACAGTGGAGAGATCTTGATGGTAGTTAGTTTTCTTACCTGTGAACTCATGTAGTCTCTTGCAGTAGTTGTGTCATCAATGCTTCGAGACTTTGTTAATTGTTTTAATTTCCCTAAAATACCTTTCTTTTTCTTCTTTTCTCCAGAAACAAATTCACTTTGAGTTGAACCTCCAGATAATCGACTGAAATTGTGAAGTTTTAACTTAACAACATATTGATGAACTACTGCAATATACTAAAATACACTAATTTAAGTTATACCTGTCCATACTGTTGTCTTTCCTGTTCAGGGAATAAAATCGAGAATCCGTTGATCCCACTGACTGTAAACTTGAAAGACTGCCATCTCCTTCATCATCTGTTTTCCAAATAGATTGCTGGAAAGAGTCACAGGTATAAATTTTAGAAAATGATTTTAAACTTTGCATGTAATTTTTTAATAATTGAAAAAAAATCATTTGTCAACAGTATTTGCTACATTGGGATATTCTTTGTTGTGCTGCAACTGTTTTAATTTTTTTTAAATAGAAAAATAAATTATTAATGAGAATCGAAAAATAGTCAAGAAGGTTTGTGCCACATCTCTCTGTTAGTTCTTAACAGTTATAACTTTAGTCCCTCAAGTCTTCAAATAATGTTGTAACATGGAGAGTTGGACACAATAAACCCTTATGCTGGTGCTTAGGAAGTTACCTGTTCTTGGGCAGATGTTTGTTCTAGAGATAAGGCTTTCCTGTGCAGACTGGCTTTCTGAGCAGATGTTCTTGAACTTTTTCCAAGTGGCCGTAGTGTTGTTTCTGGGGGATTATCAGATTCTGTTGATGCAGCCCTAAGAAAGGCAAAAAGAACAGAAAGTGATTTTTTGCTAAATTCAATCAACAAGGAAATTAAAAGGTAGTGAATGGCCATAAATATAAACGATGTTTTATGTACTTAAAGGTAATATTATAAAATTAAAATCAAGTATATTATACTAGATAACTTTTTACAGAAGATATTATTTTGACCCTATCGTCTTGCCTTCTCATTCCAAGTGCTCTTCGAGCCCTCTCTCGGTCACGATCTTCCTCTCCTGCTTTTTGATATCGCCTTAAGGCATCCGTAGCTTCAGTTAATCTTTGCACAGTGGACTGAAGCTGCACTTTTCGATCAACAGATGTTTCTATAAAAATTATAACACAGAAACTGTTAGCAGAGCAAGTGAGCACTGCAGCAGAGCAAGTGAAAATGAGATTTAAGAGATCATTTAATACTGACTGCCATCTTGACCAGTGGCCACATAACAGGTGGGACCAGGAGTACTCCTACCCTGGGATTTAACTCCACCTTGTGAAGGAAGGACCCTCCCATAGAAGGGGTCCAATCTAGCAAATGGGCTTTACCAAGGGGATTCCACCTACTAAGAAGGCCCCACCTACAGAGGGACCCCATTCCCTGAATGTGCCCTCCTCACTTGTATTCAAATTTTATGTCTTTTTTTTTTATAATATTGGGTTAGGTTGAAAGCAGGAGCTAAGAGAGAATTTGCTGGTAACGTCAATAAGATTATAATGTAATTTACCTCTTGAATAGTCTTTTCTCTCCAAACCAGGAGATGACTCCCTAGACTTCGGGCCCTAAAAATCAGAAAGAAATATTACTATAATACTAACTCAATTTGATGCAGTTTTGTAATTAGTTTATAATTTTGAATGCAAAATTTGAAACTTAACTTCCAAGTTTTAACACTTTTCTGCAAATTTGTTTCATTATTTATTATTTTCAAATGAATATTTCTATTCTACTGAGAGATCAAATGACTATAATATTTTGTTTTGTAAACAATTGCTTAAGACATATATTTATTTGGTAGTGCAGAAAATATTCATAGCATTTAGTGTAGACAAGAATAATGTCATTCTTTGTTTTCTTTGAAACATTAGAATGAAAGTATTTGAGAGTAGAGTGCAACGTATTTACTAGGCTCTCCGTAAAAGCATTATGCCCTGAGGAAGGTCGCCGAATGGCGACCGAAACGTCGGCACCTTCGCCATGGATGCGGCGTCACCCCGACAGCCTAGTAAATTCTGACTCCGGCCGCGGAAGCCTACGCTCTCAGAGTGCAATGTGTTGTTGAATTGTGAGGTTGACCACAGTGGCATAACATTTGGGTTAACAAGGCTTGCAATACGAGCAGGCCCAGGTAAAAGAGAGCCCATTTTTAGGCTGATGGTTTTACAATTGTAAGAATTGTGAGCATAAAGTGTTGTGATTGTCTATGTAGTAATCATAGACTGATGAATATGAATTTGTTAAAGGATATTTTTCAAATTTAAAGTACTAATACTACTTGTGTTTGCTATACACATTTACAAAAGAGGCCAAGATAAAAGTTTTGTGGGCGCACCAACACTCATTTTGTTATGTTATTGGTTGACCAGTTTTTAAGTCTAAAAAAGACCAAAGAAAGGTGATCATAATGTGCCAACACTTAAAAACTTCTAAAGACTTTGGATTGGCCATGATCTCATATGCATTGTAACATCTCTGATGTTACTTCATAAACTATTTAGAATTAAAGAAATATGCCACAAAGCATCAGAGATTTCAGTTCAACAAAGTGTAAAATGAAGTTCTTTACAATGGTATGTATCACTAAAAATTAGTATCATTAGAGTGATTGCTCCTAAACTTGGCAGAAATACTTATGAGAGACCAATAATGAAATCTAACATTGTTGCGATTCAAAATGTTATTTAAAGTGTCCTTTTTTTACAAAAACAAATTCCAAAAGTGCTTTGTAGTGTATGTAGCCCAACTATGGTAGCTTACCCATTGTTAAAATCAAAATCAAAAATGAATAATAGGGCAACATGGCTTGCTTCTATTTGATATCAACAGATTAAAATATACTTCTAATCAATAATTGTAAACTTGAATTTACTTAATGTTTTTATCTACACATGTGAAGAAAGTGCAGTTATTAGTGCTAGTGTGAAGCATCTGTAAGCAAAATCTAGGCAACGCCACATAATACATGACTGTGTGTGATAATAAATGTGTGAGCAATCCTGAGTTTCTCAAGAAAGTTACTAGGTTAAAAGTTTTAAAAATTATTGTTGACCAATAATATCAATCATCATTTCAGAATATAAAAGTAAATATATTTTGAGAGTTTGAGAGACATCACATTTATTGACATGCAATAAGTCAATGCATTCTCTGAATACTTCTGGAAGATATCAGTAAATTTTCACTAATTATGTCAAAACACAGCTAACAGGCAAATACAACACAAATATAAGGTAAAAAACATGAAGAGAAGAATAAAAATGAATAGTAGCATTCAATTTGAAGAAATGAACTATGAAACTAGGAAATCTTGACTTTTTGATGATGCAAACTACTTTTCTACTCTCAGGCTATGAACTTTCAAAGAAAATTAATATAGATGTGAATAAGGGTATGAGATTTTTCTTGTTATTGTCTAACTTAATCTTCTTATCAGATTTCGTGCAATGCATAACATCTTTCATGCTGAATTTATCAGTGATGTATTTTCTTGTGAATAATGTGTTCCAGTGCATGATGTTATGACAGCCTTCATTATTATCTAAAAATACTTACAATAAGACTGTGAAAACATTTGAGAAAAATGCTGTACAATTAGAACATTGAACATTGAACATAGACTGGTTTTAGCAACTTCAATACTAAATCTACCTGGATTCTCATGCTTAAAATAATAAAATTCATTACTGTTTTGTTTGTGAATAAATCAAAAAAGACCTTTGTCCTCCGAGGTGGTGTTGGTGTTGTTATGCCTGAATCAGAAGATGCTTGCTTATTCTGAAATAGTTCTGGTGCTAATCTCATGAGCTCATCAACCTGAAAATAAAGTTCATTAACAAAGATTACATTACATGTATTAAATTTTATATCTAATTTTTGCAAAGGAATGTGCTTTACATATTTCTTTATATATTTTAAATTATTTTAGTAGTTTTCTTTGAATTTTTGTAACTCAATTAAGTTCCATACTTTTCTTGTGTTCTGATAATAAGTTAATTGATTATTCAAGACCCTTTTCTTCCACCTACCAACTCAATTAGCACCTCTGTCTCCTCAGTTATCTAGTTAACCCCCCTTCCCCCAGGGAAAGAGGGTGCATGGAAAGAGAAAATATATTCATAAAATGTATTGGATTAAAATTTAGGATTCCCATTGTTGATATATGCACTACAATTAATTGGAATTGCTAATTGTAGCCCCTTAAACGGCTGATGAAATGAAAGTAAAGAATACAAATGTTTACTATTGCTTGTTAAAAATGTTCATACTCTGTAAACTGATCAAAAGTAATAAACAAATATAATGTAAATAGTCAAGCTTTACTTATTGACTACAAAAGATTACGATTTATTCATCACAAACAAATTGAGGTTGAAGATTGATTTCATAATACGATCAAGGGTTTTCAGTCCATGCATAGTGGTTACATTAAATAAAAATAATTTAAAATCTTTAGAACTAACTTGATCCAGAAGAGAATTGATTCTCCTTTCTTCATCTTGCTCTGCTCGTCGCTTTCCTGATGCCAATTGACGTAATTCTTCTCGTTCTTTCTCATGTCTTTCCTTTTCTCGTCGTAACTTTTCATTTGTGGTACGTAATTTAGCATGTGCATCTCGCAGTTCCAGTAAATCACATTGCAACTATAAGAATGAAAAATTACTTATCAATGAAAACATATATCAGAGGTTTTAATTTGTAAAATCTAATTAAATTATTAAATAAATTTTCTGCTAACACACTTTAATAATTAAATACACTCAAATTCTACCCACAAATTACCACATACCTCTGTTACTTTCTTCTTATTCTCATCTACTTCTTCTTCTGTAGTCTTTTTGAGCTGATCTATTCTTCTCTTGGATTCTAGACGCTCCTTGTCTCGTTCTCTTTCAACCTTAACAAATAGATTTTTATTACAAATTATTAATTTTGTATTCAAAAGTTAATTCATGTTGATGAGTATTTTATTTGCACACTTTTTTTTTATCAATATTTACCTCAAAGAGAGTCTGTCGAAGATCACGGGCAAGTGTGGATGTTTCTTGCAAAAGTCGTTGCAATTCTTCTCGTTCTTTTGACCAAGCCAATTCCATTCTTGTTCTCATACCTGGTATTTTTGTCCTCCCACTTGTTAAAATGCGTTCTTCTTCAAGCTAAGAAATGTATCGCAGTAGTAAATAGTTTATTACTTTATTAGTAAAAAGGATGAAAAACTATATTATCTTTGCACACACTTACAAACTAAATTTTGAAATATTAATTATACATATCAATAAATCAATAAATATTATACATGTACATTTGTTTCTTTTTCCCCTTTTTATACAGTCTTTAATTAATATTGTCAAAATATTACTACTAAACTGATAACATTGTTAATTTAAGTTTCAGTAATATGAAATATTATAAACATTATCTATGTGTAATAAAATTGTTACTATTTCTCTATGATTATTACAATGACAAAAACTATTTTCACACCATTTGTAAGAATTACTGCAGGAATAAATTGAATTATCTTTGTTCTTTCATGAAAAAACATATATAAAAGTACTGACCTCATTTACTCTAGACTGTAGTTCAGAGAGTTTGATTTCCCATGAAGAACGTTCTGAAACTAGCTCTGTTTTTAATTTCGAACTCTCAAGCCTTGCTTCAGATAATTCATCTTCCATGCAATTAATCTGCTGTTCCAATGTTGCAATTTTTGTTAACGTATCTTCTGTCTGCAGAAATGAAATTAAAATTTCAAAAATGTATATATATCCTTGCCTTCTAAGTACCTAATTATGTTTCCACTGATTATGTATTCCCTTCTCAGAAGAGGCGAATCCAAGGGGATTGTGCATGGTCCCCCAGAGGCCCCCCAAAGGCCCCCCAAAAAGGCCTAAAGTTTTCATTTATTACCTTCTTTTATTTGACAAAATTGATTTAAATATTTATTTATGTTAGAATTATGTAATGGCTTACAAAATCATATTGTATAGTATCGTGTGTACACTACAAAAATAATATACAATATAACAAATATGTTTATTATTTATCAGAAATCTATGACCCCCCCCAAATGATTGGCTGGATCCAGGATCCACCCTTGCTTCTCAGATTTATTAGAATTGTAAAATATTTGTCTGTGGCAGTGTAATACTGGTTGATAAGCACAGTTAAAGGGATTCCACAATAAGCTTCACTATAGTACGTACTAGTATGTACTATTTTAATAGATGTTTTACAATACTAGTTGCATAATGTCTTTTTTTAAGATAAATAAAAAATGCTTTTTAAAAAAAGCAAGTCACATAACTATCTTAATTAAGACCTTTATGAAAAATAATCTTATAAATAAGCAGCAAATAAAAAAATGGCTTTGTAATAATTGTAGATTAAAGTCTGAATTATACTCATCTGATGTGACATTGAAATGAAGCATTTATGACATTTTTGTCCCTCTTGACCACCTTGTCTTTTTTGTCCCATTTCACCCATTTTGTCCCATGTCTCATTTGTCTCCTTTTCTGTTTGCCCCCTTGGTTCATTTTGTCCCCTTGTGCCATTTTGTTCCTTCGTCCACTTTGTCCCATTTTGCCCCCATTGCCCCTTTGTTCCATTTCTTCCTGGTTACAATTCGCCCCTTCTTCCATTTTGTCCCCCTGTCCCATTTGTCCCCCTTATCTCATTTTGTCACCGTGTCCCCATTGTCCCATGTCCTATTTGCCCCTTGGTCCACTTATCCCTTTGTCTCATTTTGTTCCCCTTGTCCCATTTTGGTAACTTGGTAGTCCTATTTGCCCCTTGTCCCACTTGTCCCTTTGTCATAGTTTGTCTTCTTTGTCCCATATCTCTTTGTTCCATTTGTTCCATCAAGACCCTATACCAACAATCCTTGCTACAGAACATTGAGAGTAATGACAATTCTTAACTCATGAATGTGTTAAATGTTTATTATGAATAATTAGAATAACTAGACAATAACAAAAAACTTTGTATGCAACATGTCCTCTATTAGTCTTTATGGATGAGGCTGGAAGGTTAACAGTGAGGCAGAGTAATAAGGAAGCTGAGCAGTTAACCCTCCAGTCTCATCCTTAAAGACTATATTAGAGGACTTGTTACAAAAATAACTATTAGTTGTGCCAATTTTTTTAATGTCACTGAAAAATGTACTGTTAAAACAATACATTAAACTGATGTAATGTGCTACAAATTCCAAATACTTCAAAATGCTTTGATAAGAACTTATCATTTGCAGTACGCTGAGCTGAAATGAAAATCTCTTGATCTAAGGTGGTTAGTATCTAACTTGTATAATATTTGTTGGCAGTGTTATAAATTCTTCATGTTCATGTATGTTAGAAAATGTCACTACTATTTATGTTAGATATAAAATATCAATTTCACTGCATTTGTAATAAATTAAATAATTCAAATTTTCAAAAGAATTCCATTCACCTCTTCTCCGCTGGCAGAAGATGATGGCCGGCTATCTCTACTGGGCTGAGAGGCTTTGAGGTCTGCTATTGTCTTCTGAGCTCCTTCCAGCATGTGTCTGAATGTATCTCTCTCTCTCTTGAATCTACTTACTTGACCTTGCAATGACTGTAATTCCTCACCTACAACTGCAACTTGGCTGTCGTATCGCATTTTCAGTTGAGCCATTTCTGACTTATGTGTCTTCTCCTCTTGGAAGAGTCTGCAATTTAGGGAATAATTTATTTTATAACTTGGTTTTCTTACATTATAAATATTTGAACTGAAATATAAGGATTTAAAAACTCTTTTGATTGTAATTATTGAAATAACATATCTTTGTATTTTATATTTAAAATAATTTTCATAGTGTAATAACAAATATATTACAAGAAATTGGAATTGTTCTCATCATAGTTACAAAAATGTACTAAATAATGATATTGATATAAAAAAGTGTAGAATAGTAAAATACTTCACCGAAAAGTCGTTTATAAATATAACTAACTTGTTCTTTAAATCTCGAACTTCCTTCTCCAGAGCTGAAGTGTCTGCAGTCATGTTCCTTTGAATTTTCACAACTTTGTTAAAGTCCTCCATTTTCTTTTTCAAGTCATCATTCTGAAAATAAATGTAATGTTAAATGGATTATCAAGAATGAGGCATTTTCATATTTTATCTCAATCATTTTGCCAAAATTCTTACTAACCTCTCGTTTAATATGGTTCATTTGATCAGCTAATACTTCTGCTTCACGCCTTAGATGTTCTATTTCAATATTCTTTTCATCAATAGCAGCCCTTGAACGAGCTTTCTCAATGTTCAAAGCTTCATTATTAATACTTCTTGAAACTTTCTCTTCTAGTTCCTTTAGCTTCTCCTGCAGTAGCAATTAAAGATTAGATTTGTTTTCAAACTGAATAATAAAATGTCACAAATTATCAGTAAAGAATGTGACCAACATTATCATTTCTTGCTTCCTAAAGACATGCAGTTATAAACATTGATTATGTAATTAATATCTAATATATTATCTCATGATGTTTCTTGCTGCATTCTTTCATATTTTCTCTCTAATAATTTAAATGACATGGAATATTTTTTACCTTCTACAGTTCTATAACATTAGAACTTTAAAAGATGACATGTCATAAAGATTTTGTGAAATATCAGTAGTGTTGCTTATTTTTAAATTAAAGTGTGGCAAATTCCTAAACGTTATTAAAAAAAATTATATTTATGAAGAGCTTGAAACTTTGTCCTTCAACTTTTTATTCTAATAGAGCACAACGTACTGAATCATAATCTGTGTAAATCATAATCTGTCATTCTCATGAAAACTTTGAAAATTTCAAAAATTACAAATATTTAATGCTTTTCAAATCTTTTGTTTGTGGCTCAAAGGCATGCTCCCTAAAACAGCTTAATCTTTTTTTAAATTTCTTTTAGTCATTTTCATTTCACATTCACATTCATTTCACAAGATGTGTTATTCTAAATCACATTCCAATACACTCATTTTAATTGAATTATTTGGTGTCAGATAATTAAAAGACATGAAAAAATGAAGGTGTTGAATTAATTGACATATTTCTAATTATTGTGTTCAACAGTTTTTTCTGTAATGTTAGTTATATTAAATTAATATTGTTAGAATATTGACAAAGAATTAATGAAATGACTAGAATATAATTTGGAAAGTAAATTCAGTAAATAAATTAATAAAATAAAGCAAATAATGATTTGCACTTGGTGTCCATCACTTTGAGTGATTTCAATGAAAATTTAAAAAAGAGGAGAAAGAAGAAAAAAAGAGGAAATAAGAAAACAGTATGTGTATGATAACATATGATAACAAACATACCTGTTGATCTAATTTCTCTTTAATCCAAGAATCTTGTTTTGTATTGTATGTTTCTCTTAATGTTCGAAGCTCATTTTCTACACTTCCCATTTCTCTCTTTGTGGAATGAAGTTGACTGGAAAGAAAATGAATAGATTACAGATTACAAATTGAATATTAAATACTCATAAAATAAATATAAGAGAGCAGAAGTGTTATTAAAATACAATTTAGATTATAGTAATTTGTAACAAGTTGGAATGTACCTTTGTAAAGTTTCTTTCTCCATCACTAGTTGTGCTTTTGTCACAACATGTTCCTCTTCAAGTATTTCATACTTAGCAGTGAGATCTTCATATTCTTGTCTTTCTCCTGAAAGTTCATCTTCCAGCTCTGTTTTGAAAACACATGTAAAACACTTTTTGAACATCATGCATAAAGACAAAGAAAATTCAGAATATTACAATTATACCTACTTCTGATTCTGGATTCATATTCCTGCTGAAGTTCTGCAGTTTTCTTAGACACATTACTATTACTTTCTAAAGAACGTATTTTAGTTCGAAGAGTTGCAAGTTCTGTTTCTCTGTTCTTTGCTTCCTTCTCCTGTGTAATCTTCATTCGTTCAATTTTCTTTCTCTCTGCCTACATAGTTCATTATAATGAGATTGATTGTGTATGGTTAAATATAAATATTATTCAGAAATAAATATACCTGCAAGTCCATTTCCAGTTCAGATGCCTTCTTTTCAAAGTCATCTCTCTCTTTCTTAAGTTCATTCTCTTGTTTTTTGAATTTGACTTCACTGGACTTTTTATTAGCTTCCACCTTAAAATTCATAAAAAAAGATTGTTAAATTTCTGAATATTATTTTCCCTATTGTTCAATGATTTAGCTTTTACAAATGATGTTGATATGCATTGTGCTCTGAAGCTAATTGTAACCAATTTGTTTTCTATGATGACTTTGGTTAATATATTATCTCAAATATAGAATGTGAATCAATTACAATTCACTGACTTAATGTAGCACTTGCCTTTTCCAGTGTTTGGGTAATTTCTTGTAAGCGAGATTTAGTTGTTGTCAATTCATCCTTCAAGGCATTCAATTCTTGTCTCTCTGCTACTCCAGCTTTTTTGCTGACATCAGATACCCTTTCCCTTTCTTCTTTGATATTTGCTTCCTACAGATTAGAATTTGGCTTTAGTTATAATTTTTTTGTTTTCATTGTTTAATGAAAGAACGTTCACAATTGAAACTAACTTGTTGAACGTTCATTACTTCATTACTGAAAACTCAAAAATGCAAGGATTTTTCACCAATATCTACGAATAGAAATGTGCAACAATAATATGACTTAAATCTTGAATATAATCATACTTTATATATTATAAATGAAAGTAAATTGTTTCAATGGATCTTACATCTGTTACACTTACATTCTTTTTGGAAGTGTTTTCAAAAGAACATGTAAAGCAATAGTGATTTTTTTCTGTGGTGCAATCATCATATTCTCATTCGTAATTATATTAATTTTGTATTGAAATGTTAATTCATTGTGTTTATATGAAATGTATTCCTTATTTTATAGCATCTTGAAATGTTCAGAATAAACAAATACAATTTATTACTCATATAGTAATTTAAGATAAAGGACATCTATTAGTTTTGATTAACAAATTCTACTTTTTCTTTTTCTGTTTTTATTTATTTTTTGGTAATTTTGATTTTATTTTGTTATTCTTGTTAAAATTGTTCTTTGTAATATCTGGCTCCAATATTAACTGAATGTAAGCACTGCAAAAAAGATCTGACTTGATAATGACTAACTCTTTGAGCCTGAACAAAATCATTTTTATTTTAATTTAAATTACCAACAGTGATGATAATAGGCCTACTATCCTACAGCTCATGGTGAAGATATTTGAATTTGATTTGTTTGAATCTTTTATTTATTCAAATCTAATATTAATGATGTAGAGATTCTACATTTATGTCTGCCAATGAAAGTTTTAGAACACTGATATTCATTGACAGTTTCTTTCAGACTTGTTATTCACTGATAGCTTTTCCAAGACTAATGTTTCTCACCAGTTGCTCTATGAGAACTGTCTTGCCAGACAAAGCTATTTCCTGAGAATCTATTTTGCTCTGTAAACTTGCAATCTGCTGCTTGAGGTCATCTCTTTCTGCCAACCAACTAGCTGCCACACCTTGCTGTGTGGCCTCATTTGCTTTTGCATGTTCCTTTTCTTCTGTCAGCTGATGGAAGAGGATCAAGTGATAGGGTATTTATGAATTTGAAAATGAAGGATGTTTGGGAATTTTGTTGGTGGGCAAAATTAAAGTGTTGGAGGTGAGAACAATGAAACGGTAAAGTTGCAATGAAATTGTGAATTAAGTGCCCATGCATGGAATTTATAAGAAAGGAAAAAAGTTAAGAAAGGAATAGATAAAGAAAGAGGAAAGAAAAAGAGAAGAAAAAAAAATATTATATTAAAATTCAAGATTAAAGTAATAGATTATTAATATTATTTCTAAGATAATTACAATTAGAGCAGAAATAATCAGGAATTAATAGAAAGAATGGTGAAAATAAAGAAGAATTATTACTTTCCCATTTCTGAGAAAAAATACATTAATGCACTGAAGAATACAAATAAACAAATGACTACATTTTCAAGAAAATCATTTAACATTTTCAACACTCACCTCTTTCTCTAAGTTGACTACTTTCTTTTTATTCGAAATTAGCAACCTCTCTGATTTCTTAAGTTTTTCCTCAATTTCTTTAACTTTCTTATCAGAATCGGCCAATTTAGAACTTTTTTCAGCAACCTGTAAAAGTCATTGTATAGTAATATTCAACTAATGACGTTACCCCTAAATTATTTTTTAATGATTGCATTTTGAGGTATTGTTCCATTTAACAAACAAACTTGTGTATTTATGAAAAGAATGATTTCATACAATAAGTCAATGAAACAATGTCTTTTTTCTAATGTGTGCTCTTATAGATTTTTACAAATAAAATGCTAGTTTTTTTAATGCATTTAAATTTAAAACTGGCTAAAGTGCTTCAATGAAATAATTGCCTATTGA